ATCTGAACTGAACCGAAAATTTTCGGATTGATTTTTATGCAATCTGAAACTGATCTGAACCAGACTGATCTGAAAAATCTTCGGATTAATCTGAACCGTTCAGAGCTTTAATATTGATATTGATATTGAAATTGAAATTGATATTGATATTAATATTAAAATTGATATTGATATTGATATCAATATAAATAAAAACATCCCTATAATTCTGCATGAAGCTAACCAAATTTATACCTATTCCTTCCTTTTTAGGAATAACTATAGCTTTTACTATATAAAATAGAATCACCTGACACCAACATCTATATGGCATAAACTATATATAGCATTAAATTAAAAATATTTTAATAAATATTAATTATAAAATTAATAAAATTTATCAATTGTATTATAATATTATATGTATATTTATTGTTTATTTATTGTATTGAAAAGGTATCATTTGATAATTTTTTTTGTATAGATTAAACCTATTAGGTTTTTTTAGTTTAAAAGATAATTTTGATGATGTTCTTATTTTTGATCTTAATTTATCATTTAATTCTAGTAGTCTAAATAGATCTTTAATATTTTGAATTTTATAACTTATTGTAAATATAATTCAATAATTTTAACCATTATTAAATTAATATAATATATTACCATAAATTCTATATAGTCATACTATTTCTTAAAAAGAATTTTTTGTAGTATTTTAATAATTGATATTATTTTTGGTAGATTAATAAATAACACATTTTTTATTTCAAAAATATTAGACTAATTTGTACTTTATTTATATATAATATTTATAAATTCTTTTTTTATTATATCTTTAAATAAGATAGTTGTATAATAATGTTTATTTTATACTTATCTTATGAAGAATCATTTTAAATATATTTCAACATACATATTTTCTGGTACTAATATTACATAAATAGAATTTAAAATTAAATTTAACATTTTCTAATAATAAGAGTTTTAAAAAAAGATTAGCTATATTTTTAAGTTTACTTATAATTTGATCATTTACATTTATAGATTTATAATCATAAAAGAATATAAATAGTTTATTATGTAAGTTTTTAATAAAATATATTTGAAACAAATATTTCTTGTACTAAACTAAAAAATAAATCTGATTTTTCTTAGTTTTATCTTTGCAATTTTTCTGAGTATAAATGTAATTCAGTATTCTAAATAGTATATAATAAATTAAATAAATTAATTTATTGAATAAGTTATTAATAAATTAAATAATAATAATTACTTCTTATTTAATAGCTTGTATATTAAAAAATGTAACTAAATCAGAATTAAATATATTTAATCTACTATTATTAGTAATAGTATTACTTTGAAATTTTATACTATGTATTTAATAAATAATAATAGTATTTGTTTATCACTATATACTGTTTTTATAATTCTATTTATATGTTCAGTAAAATTATTTGTAATCTATGGTTAACAATTTATTAAATTATTAGAGATTGGAATATGTTCTATATCAATAAAACTTAGTCTTTATTCAGAATGTATCCAGTTATTTGATATATTATTAATAATTTTTTTTATTTCATTTTTTTTAATAGGTAATGTATTTATAAATTCATTAAAAAATTCAACCACTTTAATAGCAGCTGTTTCAGTTTAGTAACATCCTATAAATTTAAAAGTTAATATCTAAGTATAAAATAAAAAATATAAAGTAAAATTACCAATAATTATTATATAATAATCAAAATTATAAATGCCTTACCAGAATTGGGTAGGTATATGCCAATTATTAAGATTTTCTATAGGTTTTTATTATGTGAAACTAATATAAAATAGGTTCACATAGTATATTTTGAATTGCTAGTTTTGATGATCTATATTTGTCAATCATTGCATATAATTTTCAATTATTATTTTAACATTCATGAACTCATTAAAATCCATTTCCTAAAATTAAGTTTTTATAATACCATCTATATTGGTATAATATATTATTACAAGGAATATTTCCTTTAATAGCTTTAATTGCCAGTTTTATAGTTTGATTATTTTCTTTGTTACTTAAAGCTATTGAAAAATTTTTTATTTAAAGAAATTAAATTATTGAAAGAATTTTATTTTTATTATTTTATAATATAATTAACAAATGCTAGAGATAAACCATAATCAGCTTCATTTTTAAGAACAATCAATAATACTGGAGCATAATCTGCATTTAAATCATATTTTCCATCAATACCAATGCAAATATTTCCATAATCACGTCCCTTTTTAAGCAAAAATTCATCAGAGAAAGTTAGTTGATAATATCAGTCAAATCTCTTATAATAAGTCTTTGAAGTTTATCATAATCACAAATTCACGCTGACTTGCTAATGCTTTACCAATTACTACTTCTAATGCACCATTAAATAGAGTTAATAATTTGGCTTTTATTCCTTTAGCTGTTCTGTGATCCGCTGTTCTACTTAAAGCAATTGAATCTCTAACAGTATAAGTTGAGAAATTTTAGGATTAATATTATTAAACTTATGTTGTGATAGATGATGAG